ACACACATTGTTCCGTCACGTTGTGACCGTCTTATATATACAAGACTAACGGATATCTAGTAAACGCTAGCGCATTCATGAAGGAACAGGATATTTCTAGAAGTCAATGACGTGTTACTAGCGTCACTTGAGTTCCGCTGTCGTAACAATATAATAAATAAACAGCAGTTACTATTAAGCAAGCCTTGTAGTTATAACAAATGGAAATAGTTATGATAAGTATCACATTATTGAACTTTTAAACCCGCTTAATAAATAGTGAACTACCACTTTCTAGAAGTTTCGACTTCAATCGTTATTATAAACATTTTTTGCGCTCATCTCCATTTTAGCACAATTTGTCTCCCGTGTAAGTAGTTTCCCATGTACAGCATTACTCAAAATAGTAATGAAAGTCGCCTTCTTAGAAGGTCAATGAGTATTATGCTAAGAACACAGTTAAGTAAACAACTTCATATAATAAGTGAAACCTACAAAAACATTTGATAAAAAGGTTGAATTTAGAGTAAATTTATGTATCAACACTTAGAACTGTTTCAAATCTAAAGTAAGTATATGGTGTTGTTTACATTTATTTAACGTTTTACATGTAGTGAAGTTTAGAAACTAATGCTGTATCATTTTAATGATTAAAGCTTCTGTTAGTTAGTATCAAGTTCAAAACATATTTTGAAATTGAATATATAAAGTTTATTTTAAATGAAAGTTTGTATTAATTTTTTTACATATATATATTTTTCAAGTTAAAAAAGATGTAACTTTAAGTCCTACACAGCTCCAGGTATCTATATAAATATAACAGTATTGTCTGTTGTATGTTCATGTAACTGCTTTGTAGGATGTAGATGGATCTTCACCAGAATTGGTATGGAGGTTCATTAGGTCCACGCGGGTGTACATACGAATTTTAATTTTTGCGTTTTGCGGCTTTTATGGGCGTTTTGTACCACTTCTTCGTCCCCTGCAGATGGATCTTCACCATATTTTGTATGGAAGTTCATTGGATTCATGGAGAGATACATACAAATTACCAGTTTTGCGTTTTTTACTACTACTCCGCCCCCTGTTGATGGATCTTCAAATTTGGCATGAAGGTTTGTTGGGTTCATGCGGAGATACAAGCAAATTTGCGATTTCACATCTTGTGTTTTGCCTTTTTTATGAGCGTTTTTTATAAATACAAATAAAGGAAGCAACTTTTCATGTCCTAAGATAACTTTTCATCAATCTTGAATTTAGTAACTTCCGTTCGGGGAGGGGAGGGGGGTTACTCCAGCTAGTGTAAAAAATAAATTAATAATTCTAAGTCTTTTATAATTGTGGTACAGCTCACTAGCATACCTTTCACATAATTTATAATTTTTCAGATTCACAGTTTTCAGCCTATAGTAACACTTCCTCACCTCCCATGAGTCAGGAAGTTAATGATTCCACATCACTTGACTTCAATCATTCGATAACAACCACAGATATGTTTAGTGCCATGAGAATGATGTCAACTAGCAAGAAGACCAACGCCCAAATCACCAAGCAGCTTGTTCAGGAAACTCTTATGGATGAAGGACTACGTGTTGTGAAAGAACTTGCCAATCAAATAAAAGATGAGAATGAAAGCTCTGTTACACTTTCAAAAGTGGACATTCTCTCTCAAGCACATATCAGTAAAGCAGAGAAAGATTATGTAAATCACTCTTCTGCTTCCACCAGCTTGCCATCAGCTGTGACAACTTCTTCAAGCATATCCAGCACCACTCGTTCATCAACTACACCACTAGTTGTTTCGCCACCAGCACAAAATTGCTATGGTTTGGTCAGTTTGAATGGACCGGTATAAAATAAAAATCAAGGCTATAAAAGTTGTAAAGCCATGTTTCTTAAGAGTTAATGGCATAATCTGATTATTCTGCAAGCTTAGAACTTTTTGTGTAACATGGGTAAGATTAAGTTAGAACAGAAAATATGACCCAGGTTTTTCCGTTTGTGTGAAAGATTATACAGTGCCCATGCTGATGAGATTTCTTTATTGTCTCAGACATTCTACATACTGTTAACAAAATCAAAATATCCTTCATCAGTTTTCTATCTGAGTACTGGTTTACAGATCAGAAGTACATGTTGCTTATTTGCTGATTTCAAGAATATATCTTTTCACTTAATTCATATAATGAGTTACACATGCAGAATGACCACGTTTGTGAAGTGTGTGCAATAATCTGTGCTCACATGTGCCTCCAAGTGTGAAAGAAAGGTAAGAGTTTTTGGTCAACCTAAGCCAAATCAATGAGGCAATAGTCATTAAAAGCACAGAGTTGAGATCTCATCTGTGTTGTTTAATTGTCACTTTTTGTGGTTGTGATTTGCTGTAGCGGTTGAAGAAACTGTTTAGTGACCAGAACTGGAATAAAAAAATCTTTAAAACAGTGTGTAACTCTCTTTTGTGTCTTAGGCTTGAGACCTAATATACAATAAACTTTTTAATCAATAGATGTTGATTTTTTTATGTGGTTGTAAAATTAATGTATTGAGTATTAAATTACAGATATCATAGTATGAAAATGATTAGTTGTGCCTCCTACAGCCCTTGTCTTAGAAGTACCTACAAACTGTTTATTTTGGTGCTGATACTTCAAATGAAAAGATTTCAGGCTTTAGTTCTGTTTTTCTGTGACCTAGTCAATGCAGTAGAGTTTAATTAACCATCATAGAGATTTTTAAGCATCTAGTGATATTATTAAGAGAATTTCAGTGGCTTAAGTCTATTGCTCAGTTTTAAATTTGTATTAAAAATCAAAGAAGAATACTTAGTTATTATATTGCACTGTTTATTGCTGTTGTTTAATTGCTTTTCTATGTTCATTATAAATTTAATGAGTAATTACTTTAAGAAAAGTTAGCAGTCTGTTATATAATGTACTCCTTGTTGTATTCTTAAAAATATTTAAAACAATCTTAAAAGTATTCATGAATAGTGGAAGAAGTTTTGACAGTGCTAGTTTTTGTCTTTGTTAAAAAGCATCCCAAAATTTTCAGCAACCTGCTTCAAACAACTTGTTTGACTATTGATTTATTTTCTGGTTTCAAGTTTAAAACTATAGATGCAAGATTGGTCACTCCTACACTCTCAAGTCTTGCATTTTTAAAATCATATTTCTGCTTGGTACAAAATGTACATTATTTGTCATTATACTAAGTTAATAACATGGAAATATGTTTGTTTATAACAAATAACTTTTAATATACTGAAGCTCTTAAAGTTTAATTTGAAAGAAATAAAAATCAATTGGAATTTGAACATTGCTAGCTTATTGTACATCCTTAAAATTTGATGCAAAAGGCTATCATAATATTTGTTTGATTTTGTTTGAAAGGTTGTTAAAAAGGTAACTTGTTAGTTTGTTTTTTATTGCTGAAATAGTCTGTTGATTCTGTATTTTACTTACTAAACTTTTCAAGATGAGCATTTTATTTACAGTGTGATAAACTGAAAGAAATATATATTGTTCTAAAAATTTGATTTGCATCATCAAGATTTTGATGCAAAACTACTGTATGAGGATATATATATAAATATATATATATATTAGTTAGGAAGAGTACAATATAGTGCTGTCACTTGGTTTAATAACCAAATACTTTGTGTGATATGGAAATAATTATTTTTCATTTTGCCAAACGTTTTAAAAAAGTCCAGGTATGTGATATAATGTGATACTTGTTAGTCATAGAACTTTCCATTAAAGTAATTTTGTGGTGAAACTGAGTTTTTAATAATACAAAAGTAAATAGTGCAAAATATATTTGCCTTTTTCTTTTTTCTAAATATAAGATAAGGGTTCTGTGTGACAAGGATAATTTATAGAAATGATATGGCTTATAGTCACTTTTGTACAGCCACACAGGAGGAGAAATTGTAAACAATTAATTTTATAAGTCAAGATAAAATACCAAAAAAATAAGAAGAAAAGTGATAAATGTTGACACTGTTGCGCTGTTTCCCCACTGCTATAATAAAATATTAGTGCTAAGTAACTTTTCATCGAAATTCCAGAGAAACAGATTAATTCAATTGACCTTTGTATTTGTGACATTCAGAAACATTTGATAAGATGTTCATGAATAGCTTGTGGAATGCAACAAGTTTATTTGAAATTTCCTAGTTTTATTAATTTCTAACAAACATTTTTGAGAGTATTTCTAAGAAATATAACTATATGTAAATTTACTGTTAATTTTCAGTTGTTGCATGTCAGTAGAATAAGATAACAGTTCCCTGTTAATTACTTACATAATTAACATAATTTTGTGGAATAAGCATTTAAAAAAAAGTTATTTGCTTTTCTTTATTAAACTTTTATTGAGTAAATTTTCGTTTTTATATGTTATTACTAAACCACATTAAATACTCTTATATATATATATATGTATATGATTAGAGTCAAAGTAACCCATCTCATTCTTCTGTTATATTCTTACACTACTAAAGGTTTAAAAGAATTATCAATCTTGGTTGCACAAGTTCTTTTTATTTATTTTATAATTGATCATTTTCTGTTTTTTAAACGTCTTTCGATGTTTTCATGTGTTGAATTATTAAATTATTTCCGCTATTTTGTAACTTTCCTAAATGGAATTAAGATAGACTGCCTGAAGCTATCTTGCCATCAGGTGACATCAACAAAATCTGTTTATCAGAGGGTTAGTTGGGTTAGAAAACCAGAGTCAATGTAAAGTTTATGATCATGATTTTTCAACCAATGAGAGCTAAATATTCTTTGTAACTTGTACCTACAGGTTGCTTAATGTTAGTAAACAAGCATGCCCTATAATTGCAAAGAACACTGCATATTAGTACCTTAGTAATTTTAATTATTAATTTTGCAAGAACATACAAACAGTGGTGGGATTCAAATATTTTAACAACAGATTCTCTCACTAGCAGCATGTAAAAATATTAGATATTAAAAAAAGGAGGGGCCGGAAAGACCCCCCC